AATATAGTCACTTTTTAGATCAGAATTAGGTGAAATAGTGATTCTTTCGCATGAAGGTATTTCGCTATGATAAATTCAAAATTTCCAGCCGTTAAATATAGCAGTTGTTGTAACAACTCATAGTATACGCAGTTTACCAGAATTAATTATGCAGACACTTTTTATATATTTCGAAATAAAAGAAATGCGTATGTTATTTTTTATTTTATTTATTCATGCCGCTGAGGTCAAAGTGTAATATGAACGACGAACATAATGTTATTATTTGCTCATCGTTCTTATTTCACTGAACGACAAAACGGACAAATGGAAGTGTTGATTTTTCAACCTTTTCGACTTTCTTAGATATCAGTTCAAATATTTGTAGCTTTTAGACAGTCAGTTATGTGTCAAAATATGTAATAATAATAAAGAACAGTTTAAAGTTCTCATTAATATTATTTTATGTTGTTTGAAATCTGAATGAAAGAGTGGTTGATAACGCAGTAATTCTGGATAATGAGGCTGTTTCCTTCTGCCTCCACAAGGCTGTAGCCAGTAAAAACGTAACGCTCTGAAGATTAGTTTGTTGAGGAAAATTTTTTAATAAGTGTTGTTGTTGTCATAACTCTACGACATCGGCATTTCCGTTATCGTTCTTTTATGATATCGTACAATACTAGGAAAGAAATGAGTGAAGTGAATATTAAATTAAACCAGTAGTCTACTAAATGCCTGCTAAGTTGTCATATTTTCATCACTGTTATTGTTACACTGCACTACCGTTGCTGAAGTAAATTGAATGAGCGATCGATGACACCAACCTAATCGAAACTTGCAACATCCAAAAATGGTTTTAATTTCTTACATAACTGGCGTTGGCTTACAACAGAACACAGGTTAGCGAGTAAAGAGCTATCATCGAAATTGCAGGTAGACTGGTTTTACAGGTATTACAGGTAGTTCATTGAACAAAGAACTTGCAATCTCTTGAAGAGTCGAATGCAACTTTGCTTGTTACACTGGCGGATCTTAACAGTAACATATTAAGCAATGCACATATTCTTTGTTAACAGAAGGTAACATTCTAGACAGTTTACATAAGCTTAACTACAACTGCAAAAAAGTTTTATATTTATCTATAACACAGTCTTTAATTTATAGCTAGGTTTCCTGATACATACAGGTGATTACGTTTTGCGGCTTTGCATAATTAGTCATGAAACTATTCTGGTGGATACATTCATTTGTAAGCTTATCAGAGATGAATACCTTTTAGAATTTAATATTGCTGTTCTAAGTGAAAACACAATTTTTAAATAGGACATTTAAAAGTACATGTATTCTTTGTTAACAGAATGTAACATTCTAGATAGTTTATATGACGCATGTAAGCTCACTCGGTTACAGTTGGGAGATAAATGTTGGAAAAATAATTCCTCACCTCAGATGTAAAATTGATTCTCTTATATTTGTGTAAGGAATATTTAAGTAAGACAACTTTTATGTTCTGCAAATTTCTATCTTATGGACTTATTTAGACATATTACAAATCTCGGTTTTCCGACATAGGTAATTCATAATCTTTTTAGTTTAATATAGTTTTCAAACTATATATATATATTTCTTTATAATACTGCAACTTATGATTTGTTAGGTTTCGACAGTTCCAAAATTTATTGAAATGAAAATTTAGTGACTAGGTTCCATTGATTTCAATATGATTACCTTTGCTTTCATTATATTTCTTGGTACTTCACTTTTATACATGTTATCTAACCAGTTAAGTAGTAATATAGTTCAAGAATATGCGACATGTACTGCTTTCTTCTTGACAAAGACACTACAGTGATTTAAAAATTTTGATCTTCTTTCCTAAGGAGATTTTAAAGTATGGAACTTTCCTCAAATGTTCTTTATTATTTATTCTTCTCTACTAACGGCTGAAATTTGATTCAAAATTGGTATGCATGTACATAGGAAAATATTGCATTACAGTATTATTGGACTAATAAAATCCTTTGTAGTTGAGTCTTTTTAAAGTTGCTTGCATCGACTGGAAAGAAATAATAAAATTGTTCAAAAGTTTGACATACAGAGCAGAAATTGCTTTAGATGAAAATTAATATCGCCATCCTAAGATCCCATTGATAATTGGTTTTTAAAAGTTATTTCTGTAAGTCCGTTGAATAATTTTGGAGCAGATAGGTTAGTGGAATGTAAAGTTTTCTTCACAGATAGTTCAGATCTGTGAATTCCAAAATTGCTGTAACACTTACTGCTGCAATTGTAAAAAAAGTGGAAAAATTCTGTGATGTGTGCATATCGAATGATTGTACCTGACAAACACCAATTACGCAGTCATTCATTAATGAATATGCTAGAAATACTGATGGTTACCTACCCGATTACTCATCTGACACCATGTTACGTACATTTTACCAAAAACTTCAAAATTTAAGCAAATCTTTTAAAAACCCCATAATTTTTGCTATTCAGGGTTAAGATCAATATAATCTGTGCGAAGAAAGTAAATAGAGATGTTACACAAAGTTTCACATAATTTCTTAAATTTCAGAGTGTATGGTGTGATCTAATATCCACTTCATAGAAATTTGTAGAAATTATTCATTGTTTTCTTTCATTGACAAATTTCGTCATTTTGTTACTCGTTTTTCTGATGAATAATTCGACATATACGAGAAGGGAAATTCTAAGACACTAAACCATAAATTATATAATATGATGCTTTAAAAAAAATTAGAAGGGAATCGTACTGCATCCTACACCACAGAAAAAATTACCCTATCATTCACTATAGTGAATCTTATAATAGGCACTGAGAAATTGACATTCTGTAAATCATGATTCACAAAAAAGAAGGTCATGTCATGGTAATTAACCTTTATTATTGAATACAGAAATATTAAAAGTTATATTTAACAGCAGTAAAGGAAGCGAAAGATTGGCATCTGTTTCCTATAATGTCAACAGTTCTTTTGGATCGTAGATTTCTTTTCTGTTACCAATTTTATAGAAAGAATTATTGAAAATTCTTTCTTTTTAACAAATATAGAAAGAATTATTGAAAAACAAACAGCAAACAAAAATGACAGTCAGCGTTCCACAACCCCACCAATTCAATATGATGCTTCTGCTGATGGTTTCAACGCAAGGTCATGTGATTGATTTAGCCCTTCTATATTGTCAGTCCCTTCTGGAATTAAAATTATGAAACTCAAAAGTTGAAAACAAGCATAATAGTGAAGTGATAGAATTGATACTATAAGCCCGCAACTGTTATCTATTATCAATCGATTCATGTCAATAAAAACCCAATATCAGTATTACTTTTAGCAACTCATCACACCTATCCATAGTTCGAAAAATCTCACCCACTTGTATCTGAGTATCGTTCATTGCATGTCTATTTTTCATTCCATCTAAATTAAATATCATTTATATCTATGAATCATGGAAATTTTTAACTTTCCTTGAAAATCATTTCAAAAAAGTTGAGAGAAAATCATGCAAGAAGTATTGTTGTTGTTAACGGTGTGAGCCATTAGTTATATAGTTACACACTGATCCAATCAAAACTTGAAGTTTCATCATCGATAGAGGCATCAAAAGAAGAAGAAGAGTGGTGAATGCTGCCTGCCAGAATTGTTGAAAGGAGATGGGACAATTTGAGGACAGACGAATAAACTTTTTCCTGTTGTCCCACGTTGTTGTAGGTTGTAACGGTAGGGTAGTGCTATCGGCATCTTATCTGTACTATTCATACTCGTTAAGCGTCTAAATGTCTATCAACAGAAGATCCAATATTTTGTTGCTGTATAAAATCATATAATTTAATTCCTTCCTATCATTTTTTGATTTAAAAGGTAATATGATTTATGATTGCATTTCCAATAGACAGATATACAAAAAACTCTGAACATAATTTTGCTTTCAAAAAAAAAAAAAAGTTTGGGATAGTTATATTATTTTTTTCTTTCTTTCAAAGAAAGAATTCAACAAATTAGAAGTCAATTGAACCGATCGATTTCCTAAAGGGTACTGATTTGTGCTATTTATTGGAAGAGAAAGAGAAAGTACTTCAAATATAATGTAACTATTCCAAATTTTTCTCTTTTATACTAACTACAAATCTTATTTTTGTACAAAAATTTTCTTTCCCAAATTACTTTTTTAATTCATCTTTCTTCATTTCTACAATACTACTTTTTTATGTCCCTTTTTTCTGGCAATCATCTAAGCTAATTTTTGTTACATTTGGCTTTATTCAACAATTGTAATGTAACAGAAGGATGACTCAACACTTCGCTTGTAAAATATTCATTTTGTTTTTTGTTTTTTGTCTCTCCGACAATAACCCAAGGAACAGTTTCATTCTTTCCTTTTTTTCACAAGATAACGGGAAAACGTTTTGCTCTTTTGCTTGCTAGTTGCGTGAATGAAATTTAAATTTGAATGAATTAATAAGAAATTGATAAGTTTCTGAAACATATATATATGGCGTTATGATGAAAAGAATATTAAAAGAATTTAGCTATACGCAAAGAATTATGGCTTAGATTCATGATTGCAGAAATTGTTAGTGAAGTATAACTTTACAATCAACGAGAACAGAATTGGATGCTATCATATGAAAGTGCTATGACATGTTTATCAATGAGATTGGATAATAATTATTATTAACAGCCTAATTAACTAATTGATATCATAAATTTCTTCATTAACCACTTCTACATCTCTATTAGATGCACAATCCACAGTGCAATCTAATGTCCAATAGTTTTGATCTAATCTTTAATGAACATTTCTGCATTAATTAGAAGCAATGTTTGTTTTAGTTTTATCATTAAAAAATGAAAAAATTTGTTAACTTCCAGCAAATTCTCTCATCTTTTAGTATTTATCTAATTTAATGATTTTTTGATGATATTTGAAACGATCGGCGCAAATGTCTTGCAAAAAGATGTCAAATTAAAATGTTCTCCTTTATAATAGAAAAGATGCAGTTGCTACTTCAACGACATGCGATTTGTGTAACGATATTTGTATGTCCCATCCTAATAATACGATGCGAAAATAGCGATGAGTATAAAGAGGTATCCAATAGGCGACTTACCGATCAGATTGCCGAGAAAGCCAAGCAAACTGTCGTTGACATCGGTGAAGTGATGAAATCTCAACAATCTGTCTTGGAATGTGACGGCAAAAAGTTTGCTCATTTCTCTTTTTCTTCTTCACTTTTTTTTAATTTGAAATTCGACTACATCTAGTAGCACATAACTTAAGCTTAATGTTGATATTGTGTTTTAAATGATTGTTGTCGATTGTTCGTTTTCAAAATTAAAAATGAGAAATATTTACTTGAGCATCATAGACACATTTATCTAGATTAAATGATTAGAAGTTGGAAATCTAAATTATTTAACTAAATTAGTGAGTAATACAAATATTTGTAATCGGCAAGGATTTTATGTGGAAAATTTTGATTTTAAACCATTTTATCACCATTTTCGTGCTAAACTACTCTTTAATTTTAATTAAGATTTTCCAAATTATAGATGTCCAAATAACAATATTTTCGTTTTTTATCAATGCTGTGAAAATGTTCCCAAAGAATGTTGCTGGCATATTCGATATTGGCTTACGTAAGCATTCAGATTTCTGAATTAGAAATATTCTGAAAATCTGAGATTCCTTCTATTCAATTACAGCAATTCTCTTATACTATACAAAGAACTCATTTTCAGCATTGTATTAATACTGATATTACTCAAAATGCTTTGGTCTGGTTTGGTATGGTGCATACGGCGATTGTGTCACGATTGAAAAAGTGGAGAGATAATTTTATTTCATAGTTTTGTTAACAATTGATAACTGACAAAAATAACAACATAATCATTCACTTGAAATATGATCTACGTTTATTTCTGTCTACGTTTATTTCTTAATTAATGTGAAATTTCCACTGAATTAACCTTTGAATTTAATTCATAACACTCGCAAAAATGTTAACAATTTCTCTCGATATTGTATTCTAAATCTTTTATTAAAAATATTTTGAGAAAAAATATTATCTGAATAGAAATGAAGTTTAACGAAAGTTAACATGTTATTTTTAAATCATAGTTTATGTCCGTTATCATTACACATTTCAAAATATCTTTTTCTACCTGTTGATAGTAAATTGAAGCTGCTGATCAAAATTACCTTGACAACTTTGTATAAGATCAGTAGCACAGTATGATAATCATGTTAAATTCTCTTATAATGCGAAATATTGCGATTTGCCATTATTGTGATCAGAATTTGAATAAGTACTGTATTTTTGCACAGTTTTTTATTGAAATACTAAAATAATTATTTTGCCAATGAATGTTTTATCATAATTTTTGCAAAACAAAAATTTGAAGGAATTTTGAGATGTATTGAAAATTTTGAATGTAAAAATTCTGAATGCCTCTGAGTTATTTGGAAAGTTGCACACTTATTTTGGAAATTTTGACAAAACGAATTTGTGTATTCGACATATTTGTACGATAAAGTTAATCATAAGACACACAGTGAACGAAAGTTTCAACAATTTCAAGAAATTGTGCAGACAGATATCAATGTAGGGAGTAGTATTTATAAGAAATCAATGAGAATATTTGGCTCCAAACGAATGATTCTTAGAACGTTTATTCATTAGTAACTTAAAGTAGTAAAAACGTTATTAAGTTATGTGCAATACTTGAAATATTATTATTCTAGTAGAAATTATTTTAATTATATCCAGAGTACTTCATAATATTTCAATAAAAGAAATAAAGAAAATCTCTTGGACTTTTAAATAAAATTTTCATAAAGTTGTACATAATTTCATTCTTTTTTCTGATATTAATTGGAACTTTATGTCAACGCTGTAAATTATGACAAATTTGAAAGAAGAACCGGATACATAAAGAATGTAAGAGGAGATATGATCAACTATCGCTATCCAAGTGATACTTTTTATCTTTAGCAGGAATTTATTGGTGTATATCAAATGTTGCATCAACAAATTTTACTAATTTCACAATGCTTTTATCGTCAACAAATCATCTAATTTGCTATTTCTCTTTCCTGCACGTCATTTTTATGATAACTACAGCACGACAAATTCACATTATTATACGTGATAATGTGACACAAGCTTGTCCTAGCCGTAAGTCAGCTTTCCAAAAATCTTTGCTTACCAAAATAGCTAAATTCTTGTTGTGCTATTATGTAGCTGAAAAAAATCCTCAATATGTTTCGTAAGTTCCTTTTTTCAGTCATGGCTTAATCTTTATTTTTCACCTAAAATTCATTTTACAATTCTCAAAAATCTATTATGAAAAATGAAATGAACTAAGCAGAATCGCTTAAAAACATGATAAGGCTTACTGCTTCTAGAACATTTTGGATTAATTGATCGAAAGTCCCGATATCACAATACTGAAAATAGAATAACGCATTATTAAAAGATATTTATAATAGAAGATCATGGTCCTAAGATTTCAAATTTGATTTTGATGAAACTCATTTGCTTTCAGAGCATTCTGAATTAATTGATCGAAAAACAATAAATGTTCAGTTCGAGTTGATGCCATTGGCAGGTGATGCAGACCAGTTATTAATTACAGGACAAAATGGAAATAGACAAACAATCACATTTCCAGGGTATGTATTTTCACTATGACTGCGTTTAATATTTGTTGAATCACTTAGGCAGTATACAAATTGTTAAAAATTTACAGATGTTTTCGTGCACGATTGAATTTCCAACTAAAGAAACTAATCAACAATCCATATATTGAATCTTTCATACAGTTTGGGACAAATATACCGTGTAAGGTGGAGGAGGATGAAGTAACTAGTAATGTCAAACGCATTTGCACGAATATTACGGAAAAAAATTGGTGTCCTCAAAGTGATAATCAAAAATTGAGATCAATGCTTAATGGGAAAAGTACATGGTAACATGATAACATCTATATTGTTTATTTTCTACTGAAATTCTAAGTTTTTATAACTTTTTTCATTAATAATTCATGTATGTTTTGGGAAGTATTTCTATTTGCAGCAGATTTTGTAATTTATGTCAGCCGCTGAAATCATCTGACAAAGACTTAGAAAGTTACATTCAAAGTGAAGGACCTGATCAGTGTAATTCTACGTCGCTCTATAAAACTTTCATTCTTAAGGTACTGTCCTACCTGTCCTGCAAGAAATTAGTTAAGGTACTGTTCTACCTGTCTTTCCTACAATGATCCAAGAGTATTAGCCATATGGTCGAGTAAGCATAGCACAATTCAGATATTTCACAGATTTGTACGCCATCATCACAACAATTACGAGAAAAAAACCTTCATTACAATGGAAGATCAGAAGAATATTGGAATTATTTAAAGCAGGTTTGCTTTCCATTCAAAGTGATTGCTAATTTGTTGCTTCTAGAATCCAAACTAGAGATAAATTGGGAAACAAGGTAACAACAATAGGTTACAACCCACAAGTCTGATATTTCTTGTAAGCTCTACGTTCACTGTTCACATCTCTTTTCATCCAGGTATCTATAGCCTTTCATCATTAGAAATGGAATTTAGAATGAATTACCACAACATGATTACCTCAAAATTACCGATTCAACTGAATTCCGTTTAGGGTGTTTTAACTGCAGTGGTTCATATCATGGATCGACCACACGTAAGAGCAACTAGCCTACGACAATGTCAACGTTTATGCAGGATCTACGAAAACTATCCAACTATTTCTGAATCATACCGTGCAACGCTACACCAAACTATCGAAGAACTTTGTATTCCAGCAGATTCATATGTTGCTTGCATCTATCACACCCTAAGATTCGATGTTATAAACAGTTAATTTTTTTTTAAAGCAGCATCCCAAGTTTATCCATTCACATCGCCTATACTCAGTTTCCGAATCTAATCCAATGTTTGCAACATTAGAGCACCTATTTTATCGTACTAAGTCACATCTCAGTTTGTTGCTCTGTACAGTGAAGACTTTGGGTTGCTGAATATGGATGTGTCATTAGTTTGTTTGTTTGAAATATAATATATATAACAAAATTTTTCAGAAATAAATTCTCCCTCATTTGAAATGTACAGTACCAATTACACGTAAAACACAAGTCAGAGGTATTATAAACATTTTTGAATAGCTAAAAAAATAATTTAATAATTGGTCATTCAAAGTTCTGTCCCACTTAATTCTAAAACCCACAATTATTGAAAAGTATCACATTGAAACTTCTTTCGAATTCCGTCGCTTCCACAAAAAATTTCAAGAAGCTTATCGAATCCATTACTACTTATAACTACAGGTTTAAGTAAACAAATTTAAATGATGAACACATCTATTAAGAAAACTAGAACTACCGTAATCATAACATTCTAAAATTCATCAAAAGAACCAAGATATTCACAGACATCATCAAAAGAGGTAGTAATAATTTCATCAGTAGTTATCAATCTAGCAATAACCATATGCCTTTTCTTATCTCTTGCTTCCAACACTGCGATATTCCCACGAAATTGGCCATTCACAATCATCAGCTTTGTGCCTATTGCTTTTGGTATAACTGTTTCCAGCCAATGTTCACTGATTTCTAAAAACGCACGAACATTAAGATTTGCTAATAAAAAAATATAGAATGAAATCGAACAATCTGTGGTTAATAGCATCTCTAAAATAACTTACGGAAATATTTATTTCCAGAAGAGTCCTCCACAGTGCAGTTCTCACGGTTGGCTGCATCCAGAATTCGGACTTTTTCATTATAGAGCTTTCCATTCTGAAATTATATGAATCTTCAAATTTTTAATACCTTCACGAATCCACTATCAAACGTATTAAAAGTACATAGGCTGCTTGTGGGTTTTATCCTGGATTTTGGTAAATTACTAATTCAAACAGTAACTCAATCAGCCATGAAATAATAAAAAGCAGTTGTTTCAGAAACACTTCAAAAAACATGATACCTTGAACCTCTTATCGATGAACCGCACTTTGAGTTCTGGTCGTGCCCACATATCTTTTATATTTGGTTTGATAACAATTTCTGATTTCTGCTTCTTGTAATTCCTTTCCTGCGATATTTTCACTTCATTATCCACCATTCCGATTTTACCATTTGAATGCTTGCTATTGTCATGAGAAGCTTTAAAACATATACCATAACTATTTTGAAAATTTCACAAATAAAGGACATAAAACAAACAACATGAAGACTAGCACCACTTCCACTTAAATTGGTATGTAATGAATAAGCTAGGGGATAGATATATCACTATGTGCAGTAAACAAAATATTGAAACTGTGAAGTTCTCCAAATTTGCTTTATTAGGATATCGATTATGGACTTATTATCTCTACTACTAACATCGATTTCAAAAACTATTATTCCTATATCAACTTCAGACTTATATACAACCACCAAACCCTTCGATGCTAGTTCAATCTTGAAGCAGTGCTAAGCATTGTAGAGGTGTTATAAACTTGGCCAAACACATGTGTAATGCAGTCAGCAGACTTTCCCTATAAATAAACCGACTTTCCTGGTGAATAATGTCTGACTTTTCTAGCTGAATAGACAATATAATAATGCGAAGTTCCATCCATCAGATTCACGAAAAAATGGGGGATATAAAATGAAAAGTTTATTAAGACTCACCGACTAACTCCTAACTACCTTTAGGTTTAAAGACTAAATCGAAATAATTACTATTCTTGCCTTTTTGTTCATACTCTTCATCAGTGACCAAAATAACAGCATAGTGGCTAACACGAACGTTTTTTCCACACAGAGCAAGCCGAACAATAACGCTTGCGTTATCTTCATCGAAACTCTCAATTTTTCCATATAAATCCCTTTAAGAAATTTCACAAGTTATTTAAAAGAGAGAGAGAGAGAGAAAAAAAAAAAAAGAAATAGAAATATTACAAAATAAAATTACACTACATACGAGGCAAATATAAATTTGGTGTAGACCTAATCAGCTTTTTTCTATAAAGTGATATCATTACCTATATATTCCCCCAGTAATTTTCACAAGTGATGCTTTCTTCAAGCAGTCCAATTTTCCTGCATCTGAATTCAAACTATTAATGGATTTTGACATGATGGCAGCACCTAATCCAAGTCCTTTCGGCCTCCCGGTTGAAATTCGTAAAGGCACTACCCTGAAAATTAAAAAACATTAATTGCGATAACTCAAACAAGAAAGCATGATAACAATGGGAGGTATTACTAGTTGTAAAATTCCAGCACAATTTTATTCTTTGGAATCATATTACCAATAATTAAAAAGATCACTCACAACCTTTAACAATCACTGACTTAATAGAACAAACTCTCGAAATATACAAACTTTAAGACAAAATTATATAAAACTGAGCACTGTCCATATTCTAGTTCATGAATTTAAAGTTACAAACTTCTTGTTTGTTTTACCAATTCCTTCACCTTCTCGCCAACCGCAACCTCTCAGTATTGCAAGACCAAATACATCTACTGGTACTGAATCATAATCAGCACCCACATCACTAACTTCACCATCAACTTTATTTCCATTCTGCAAAACCAGTCATAGAAAAAACATTCAAGAAAGATGCTAGCTGCATACAATATAATTAAAAAACTGAAGTTTAAAACAATGCGGAGATATGAATAAGTTAAAAGCTAATTACCTTCTGAGTTAATAACGGAGCAGACTCAACAAGTAGTTCCAGCTTCGCTAGCTTTTCCTCCTTTAATTTACCCTCACTTTTCATCTGTAACAGGCGCTCAAGTCTCCAATCTTTCTGCACTGCCATTGGTATAACTAAACTACTTTCTGACTTATGTGTTCCTCCTGATCTGAAAATAATGGGCTTTGTAAAGAAAAACAAACATGTTATTATTTTTACCCTAGAAATCCTAAAAGTGAATGGTACCATACTAGCACTTTCAACTTACTCCTTAACTGGCTCAAATGATAACTCGAATCTAATATATTTATGCAATTTAAATCAATTATGAAAGATAAACTAATCACAAGAACGGTATTAACCAGTAATCCTTAAAATGTAACAGTGCTACAAAAACAAAATATATCCTAAAAGTGAATGGTCTTTAACTGATTTAGGTTACTCTTTAACTGATTTAAACGACAACACCAATTCAAGCAATTTAAAGATGAACTGATTTGGAAAATGGTATTGAACATATTAATATATTGAAATAAAAATTAACATACTCAATCATTTGTCCATTTTTCACAAATGTAAGCCGCTGACGTTTACCTTCATTCATTCCATCTTCTGCACCATCGTCATTTCCAAAATTTTCAGTTCGCAGAACATTATTGTTCGATACCGATGCTACATTCCTTTTAAGAGTGGATATCGTGAATCTCACGTCTGGTGATTTTTTACATAACATATCTTTAGAAACGTCCGATATATCAAATGAACAGGAATATTCAGATGTAAATGCCATTTATACAGTGGGCACTAAAAATAACAATTACCGATTTACACTTGATAACAACAATGATAATTTCGAGATTAAACAAAATGAAAATCAGAGAAAGAAGACGCTGAATTCGCAATTTGGAAAGTTATGAAGGCACGTTTTCAAATAACATATGTGAACTTCCAACACATCCAAGTGTAAGAAGTGTCACGACCACGATGAACTGCCTCTCAAATCGAGAACACGTTTATTTCTATAGTTATTACTAAAAATTAGACGACAGCGAGACACCAAACACATCTAATCTCAAATTCAGAGAAGTCCACTGCCTTCTCCGGAATATCCCGAAAATCCGACCGCTCCTATTTAATCCACTGAATCCACACGGAAACTCACACACTGGTTTATCGTAAAAATTGGTTCGTTGTATCGTCTCACTGGTGTTGGGGTATTCTGATGAGGAAGCAATGTGAAAATTTCTGTGTGTCATCACAATGAATACTTTCATGAGAGATTCATGGTGACTGAGCTTCGCTTATGTTTCATGTTTTTAGTTACATTTTGGGCGGAGGGAAGTATTCAGGCATATTTCTTTGCTGCCCAATCTTTGGTCTAGCGAACTTCTTTATTGTACAGTCCTTTAAGTTGGTGGATTCCTTTGCTTCATAGATTAGCCTATTGGAACAATGACAGACAGAGAGAAAGAGCCAACAAATAGCGAACGAGAATCGATATTTCGATTTCATTACGCCAGAGAGGCTATTGGTTCGGAAAGCTTTGAGAAATTTGGCAGCACAGGAGAGTGGAAACTGATTAATTACGCTTTTATATCTGTCTCATGTTGTATTGCTAGAATTGCTGATTGCATAAGGAACAATAATCGTAGCAGCTGTAGGCTTTTATGGTCCCATTGTTACTGAAATGAAAGCAAAGACATTCGCTTCAGTTATCAATTTTAGGCATAATATTGTTGTAATTCATCGATAAGTATGTTGATCTCAGCAGATCATTCCGATAAAATTTGGTTTGTAGTAGACCGATTGGTGTTTTACGGGTTACGGATGATGGGTTTAATTTCCATCGTAATTTTTGGCTTTGATAGGCTTGATAGTTTTGCGTCTCCTGACTGTCAAGTTTAATTTCAGGTTTGCACTTCTTTTATGTGGTGCTCGGTTAAGTGAGGAAAGACATAATGTCGTAATAGTTGGTATTTAGTACATTTTTGAAATATTTTTGTTCACATAAATGGATGTTTAATGGTGATTGAAAATGTGGAAAGCCATGATGCTTTTTATCCAGCAACTTCCTTCGTTTGTATCTTCTTCCCTCCACTGTTCGCAAGTAGCGCAAAAGCACCTGCTTCCCTCATAACTCCGATGTCAGCTTCGGATTATTCATTTTAAATCCCACAGGTCAGCCTGCTACCGATCTGATCTTTATAGGCCAAAACTTGGATGTTGCTCAGCGACATTCCCCGTTGTCCCTGTTCCCTCCAAATCAGATTTTTTTGTAGATATCAGAATGCTCTATCTAAATAAAACTGTGATTTCATTAGAATAACAGTTTTTTATCATGTATCGTAGAAATTTGTTTATTGTCTTTGGAATATTTTACCTCTTAATAATTAAAATGATTTGAATAAGTTTTCAGAAATCTAGATTACTGATCCATAAGCGGCAGGTTCCAGAACAGTCTGCAAAATGCCAAAGAATAAGGGAAAGGGTGGTAAAAATCGCCGGAGAGGTAAAAATGAGAATGACATAATGAAAAGAGAATTAATATATAAAGAACCAGGACAAGGTTTGTTTTCCTTAGTAGTATGTAACATTCGCTTTATGTTTGTATTTTATTAAAGGATTAGAAATTGAACTTCTTGTGGAGCTTTTAATTGTTGTATAAAATTAGTGCTGTATTTCATAATTCTTTTAGTAGGTAACTGCAAAAGAAATCACTGAAACTTGTTTTAATTTAAAACACTGGTTATTTGGTATGAGGAATTCACTTTGTAATTGATTTTATATATCAGCTTTAACTAGCTGCTGAAACCACTAATTTGAGAGCAGGTACTTATGAAAGGACAGCATTGAAGTTTTTCAGATCTGCTAATTTTAGGCTAATCGCAGACATCATTAAATTTTGTAGAATATGCACAAGTAATTAAAATGTTGGGTAACGGTCGGCTGAATGCAAATTGCTTCGATGGTAAACCGCGCCTATGTCATATTAGAGGAAAATTACGTAAAAAAGTATGGATTAACACTGGCGATATTATACTGATTGGTCTCAGAGATTATCAGGATGATAAGGTAATTTGTTTACAGATCTTCTAGTTAGTGTTACATGTTGATTAGTTCTGTTTTTGCTATGGAATTGATAAATAAGTATAATCTTGCATATCCTTCATTTTCATCCTTGATTCTTCATTTTCCCTCTCCCCTTGTTAGTTTGGAACACATGAATTTTCATCAATATGTATACTTATTATAGGCTGATGTTATTTTAAAATACAATCCCGATGAAGCCAGGAATTTAAAAGCATGTGGGCAGTTACCCGAAAATGCGAAATTGAATGAAGGCGGTGATGATCTTGATGAGGGTGGAGTTGAATTCGGTGCGTTCCTTCCTTACCTTGGTAAGATTGTTTAACAGTCTTATTCCTATTGTTTTTTTTTTTTTTTTCATTCCAGCTGATACGGGTGCACTGTCAGACGAAGATAATGAAGGTTCTGGTAATGAGGATCTTCCATCAATTGGATCTGATTCCGATGAAGATGAAGACGATGAAGAGGAAGAAAGCGAAGACAGTGATGATGATAGAATAACAGAAGAGAGATTGGCTAGAAGTTATGTTAAGCCAGGAGCAAGAGATCGTCCCCAAAAAAAGAATAAATGGTAATGAAAATAGCTCATTATCAGTTGCGCATATTTTGCTATGTTCTGGTTTTCTAGATCACTTTTTCCCACCATACTGACTTTATACTCGAAGTTTATAATTTTATAACTCGGATTGTAGTTGCACCATCTTTGAATATTTTGTACTGCTGTGAATTCAACTTGTATCCGTCTGCTATTTTTATATATTTCTACTTCCATATCTTGAAATTTTCTTTATTCTTGATATCTTGTAAGAGAAATGTGATAATTGTTTGATTTTATTTATGACTTACTATTAATTTATTTTCCTGATTCGATGAGTCTCTTTCTTCTTTAATCTTGCATTTTGGATGGAGACTTCAAAGTTCTAAGCTCTACAAGAGTATAAATTAGATCTGGGCTATTTAACGGCGAACTTGCCTATTATTTCTAACTTTCTTAGTGCACGTTTTATTCGCGTGGAAAAAGGAATCCCTAACACGCGGCGATTGAGGTACTTCGTACTATTCTTGTTTTCATGAATTTTCAAGGACTTTTTGAATGTTGACTCACAGAGCAGTAACACCAGTATTTCTGACATTGTGTCGCTATGACTAATTTTTCAAGTTCTATTGATAAACTTTTTTTCGTACGTTTTGTGTACAAAAATTAGTGGTGTGGTAGAAAGTAATCTATTGGGTAAGACAAACCTAAAATGTGTAGGAACTACTGCAAACAGTAGAGGAATCGAAATAATAGTAATGAACTATTCTGTATAAGTTACTGGTGCAGTAGTTAACACCGGTTTAATTGTAAGACAGTCAGAAGTTCACTAAAAGCTAACATCTGCTAAATTCTCAGAGTTAGGTCAGGCTTTTAGTTTTTAAAGCGTTCGTTTTTATCCATATGATGCGATATTGAGCAAATAGGACTAGCTCTATATTGTTACTTCTTAGAAAAAGAAGTTGCTCCATGTATCTTGTCTGTTTCCCATTGCCCCAAACACTGCAACATGAAATTTTCTATAAGTTTTCTAATCACATATTCATCATCTAATGCAATTCATTTTACAATAATGGAAGAACTGTTGCTAAGGCTACTTTCACGTAGCTTAATAGGAATTATTTAATGATGCTACCTACACACTATATTTCTCCAATTTTTCGTTTACTACGAAATTCAAGAAAATTTCTATTTAACGATCTCTACAGTTTTACCAAAATTTATTTGTTCCAACTTAGTAAGTTTAGCGTCAGCAATAATTAGATAGTGGAATCGATATAAGGGTTCAAGCGAACAGCTGGACTGAGGAAGTATTGCTAGAAAATTCTTGCATCATTTATATTCCCATTCACAAAACAGTTGTTGCTTTTAAAATTATTTTAAAAAGAGAAAGAAAAACACTGGGATAGCATACTGTGAGTGAAAAATTGACCTGGGCTAAACCATGAGTCTGCTTGCTTCAGTATTTTTTCTTTCTTTTCATATTGAGATAAAAAGTCATAAATAGCTTAATATTCCCTGCACAGTATGTTAAAGTAGTGGTAAGAAATTTCCACATTGGAAAAAAAAAAAATTTACAACTTTTCCACCTTTTTAACCGTTCGGAAAGTGAAAGAAATGGAACAATGTCCATCGTATCAGTTGTTTTTCCACAAATTCTCCCCTTCATAACAAATGGCTATTCCTTTGTTTTTCTTCCAAAAATCAGTTCGCTAAAATAAAATGCTACCAGACAAAATTCAGATATTTCTAATTGTTAGTTTTCGTAAACTCGTACCAAGGATAACATACAGATGCATTTCATTTATTTTTGAATATCATTGATACAGATTTCTTCACTTGTTTTTGCATTTTTTTTTTTTTAAATTCTCATCAATATAATAATTGTAATTATTTTGCTTACTTAATGATTAATCCTCATTATTAAAATTTCATTTTTGAAATTTTCTTACGCAAATTATTTGATCTTCATCTTAAAATATCACATTTTTGCTAGACTGCACATTTCGTACCACTCAAATCCCTTGAAATACTTTGCATTCTCATGGAATCAAAAAATTTTTAAATCATTTGTTTGTTGACTGATAATTTTTGTGATAAAATTTATAATTGTGGTAAAAATTATAAGAATTTCTTTAGAACGGTTTAACTCATTATGAGTCCCTCAGTCATACTATCAGTATTGTTTAACTATTGTTATTTTGATACTGCAAGGAAGTATTCAAGTTGAGTGTTGTAGGGAACAATAACTCAGTAATTCATAAAGTTGATAATCACTGTCTTTCATATATTCGACGACAAAGGTTGGTTTATGTTTTTGATCATTTCGCCAAATATTTCTTCATAATGATCAAATTTTCCATTTTTTCATTATATAGCCCCTGTGGAAATTACAGACAAGAATATTTGTTGAAAGTTGGTAGGATAAGTAGGAGAACAGAATTATTTCGCCTTAGTCTGTAAGATATGCGACAGTTCTAAACAGATTCATCCTTGCAGTTTTTCTTTTTACTGCTTTCTTTTGACATTTTCATTTATTTCTTTGCTTTCATTCTAGACTTCTTTTAACTTTTTTTTCCTTTTTTGAAACTGAGATAAAGGAAAGTAACTTTTAGCATCAAGCACAACCGTCATATAGATGTCTGTATAAAACGTCAACCAAAATATGACAAGAAAGTGCTGTGAAACAGTTTTAAAAAGAGCAATATGAGAGGAAAGCCATGCATGTCATATTTTTTCGTCATCTTAATCTCCTTTACTGCCATATTCTTAGCACTACTATGGCTTTTTGCACTAAGTCATCAGCGACTGGAGCGTGAACATTTGTTCCGGAATAACAGTCAACAGCTGGAATAATTGATTTTCGGTTAGCCATGTAAGCATTTAAGCTTTTGTTTTGGCATTACTTTTTTGTTCTTTTTATTGTCAGAAATAGATCGAAATATGAACAAAGTTGGAAGAATGTGGAATTCTTATATTTATGATATTAATCGACCAGCAAATTAATTCAGAGAATATCGGCCATTCTCTTCTTACCGTTGTATTCCATCTCTTTATAACTGTGCATAGCATTTTGAAAGCATAATATTCTGGCATAATTTTTGTATCTGTTATTAACAGTTAACATTAATGCGGGTTATGTATATTGATTATATATTGCTGATAGTAGAGTTGATCAAAGCTTCGTTTCACAATAGTCTAAAATATTTCTGAATTTAAAATTAATAAATTTGAAAATATATTCTCTGTTTTTAGCGTTTAATCTCATAATTTCTACTTTCGCATCACAATTTCACGTTGTTATTAGCGATACTATTGTGGGAATACTTATCAGATTATTTGCACCATCGGGAAATCTCGGTTATGATTATTTTTCTCTAAATTTCTATGTGTGAAGTATATTATAACATATGAAATGTTCTTGAATTTCTCAGCTATGTTATATGTTATTTTACAAGTTTATCGCTTTCATTGATAAATTTATTTGTTGGGAAGTGTTCTTTGAGCAACCAGTCTGTTGAATGAGCCAAATTCAGCTGTACAGTAGTGGTTCATAAGGTAGTCTTTTCACTTCAAATGATCACTAATGGTGATCGATTCCGTCTTACTAACATCGACACTATTGCACTGGAAGATCATCCTAAAGAATGTCTGCTCATTCATAACCACTGAGTGAGTGCTTCGAATAGACAAATGCAGTTGATCACTCCAAAGATACAATTCCGGTTCTTGCTGCACAAATCCAATAGAAATTTGGAATTTGTGAAATGGAACAAATAACATTTTGTAGTAATCGCAGGTAGAGTTATTATTACCATTAACATGCTAACATGTTTTTTCATTTAGCATTCACGGAGACTCTTCCTATTAGAGAATTTTTTGGATGGTGAAAAGGATTGGGATAAAATGAAGGAGAAAAAGAAAAGAAGTAAGATTGTCATCAATTATAACAGTGAGACGAATTATAGCTGCCATTTGAAAATGATAACAAGAAAATTTTAAAAGAACATTTTTCAAATACTTGAAATATGAATATTCTTATCCATTTTTTCTTGACCACTGAAACTTTAATTTATTAGCATTTTCTTTACAAAATATATTTATTTTGATAATACAGTGAGCAGGCAAAATTTCGAAAATAAGCAATAAATAAAACAATTGTTTAATTCCACTAGTCAATGAAAATTTTCAAATCACTGGATTTAAACTAACCAAGAATTAAATTGTAATATAGAGATAAAAGTAAGTAAGGAATTGTGTTAAAACTTTCAAATAGATTCACAAGAGTATTAAGCGCTTGAAGATTGTTTGTAAGAAAACGTAGACTATTCTTTTTTTACATATTTTTATTACAATTTACTAATTTATCTTTATTCAACCATTATTAACAGAAACAATAAAATTGTTATTCAAATTATCAATCCGTGATCAGTAGTTGGCTGATTTGTTGATTTATATTGGAGATGCTCATAGATCGCTGTCATTCACTATATAAAACACGTTTCAACAAGCGACAGGAAATAGAAAAAGAAATGGATCTTTGATCTTGAAGAATAGTGATATTTACTGATGAAATAAAGAAGACAGTATCTAGAAGAGTAGCATTAAGGTAACTCTGGTAAGATCATCCGATATAACATTTATAAAATGCATGAAAAATTTTTAAATAAATCGATATAACAATTTTTGCTGCATAAGAAAGTTATTTAGTAAAGATAATATCTAATACATGTATATTGCCGTTTACATATATATGAATGCATCACTTTTGTCCTTCAAAATTTCTGTTGTTTCCCTTTCATTATCCAAGAAAAAAAACTGATTAAGTAAATAATCTATCTTGCATATATCACACACTCAACTACTTAAATACTTTTTAAGGACTTAAACATAAATTAACATATCAGTAATCTTAGATGATATGATTTGATTAAGTGAAATGCCCTGTTTCAGAGTCTATAGAAATATTATCAGCGTTATTGCATTTCTGCAACCTTAATAACTCTTAAATCATTGTTATAAGATAACTTCATCATTTTACTTTACCTATCATCCAATAACGTTATTGACAAGAAAAAAGTAATAGGATTTGAAGTATTAAATTTTATTTCGCCAAAAAAATGTGGTATGGCTACTGTTTAAGTGACCAGTGGTTCTTCCGTATAAGATTCAGTAATTAAAGTATAAAAAAGAAAGGGAAAAAATATCAGCATAAACAAAAAGAAAAAAAAACACGAACTGCTCAATAAACTGGGGTTCTTATTTTTTCTTTTGAATAAAAAGCAAGTTTTTCCTGCGGAAAAATTTTTTTCTAATTGCAACGGAATAATTTTTCTTAAGCTTCACTCTTTTTACAAACTTTATCTTCTGCAAGACTTTTCGTATGACTGAAACAGTTTATCAACTGTTTAATACAAGTCAGTTTTGGCTAAAATTTAGTAAAAACTTGCAATTAGCACACTCTTTCAGTGTTTCTAATATGCCGGATTAAATAAAATTGTCCAAAATATCAAAAAGTTTTAATTTCTGAAACAACCCATGGCAATTACAGTTAAAAATTGTCATATCATTTGAGCTAATATAAAATGATTCCACTATTAATGCTAAATAATAAATATCTTATCTGGAAGTTTTGAAAAATGTTAAATTTTTTGGTGATTTTCGAGATTAATATGCGATCTATATCGCATATTGAACTGAGAATTGCTGAATAATGCAAAGTCTTTATTTTATTTTATTTGTTTATTTTTTCTTTGGAACTAACAACAGATATTATAATGATTCTATGTACGTGTATTAGTATTAACAAAATATTATGGTGACGAAACTACTCAACTCGATTTAAAATAATAAAGTCATTTGATGCTTTTATTTAGATGAAGAATTGATTTGATAGGATTCATTCGATCGGTTTACTTCTAAATACTAATGCTGAGTGAAGGACATCTGAAATAGTTACACAATAAATTGAAAAATTAATAGACTACTAAATAAATCAATATGATAACCATGTGGATAAAATACTGAAGTAAACCAAAAAAGGCATACCTGAGCAAGAAAATGAAGTTAAAAATGGGGAGAAGCAGAGGAATACAGAAGGACATCAATGATTCGGGATAAATCAAGCTGAAGCATGAGCTCTGGAACCAGTTTCCAGTCACAGCTATTAGATGCCATTGGTCACGCCTTGACCATCCGGATCCTTTTAAATGATTTAAATACACTTTCCTTTACACTATTTGCTCGTCACATTTTGTATCGCAATAATCGTTGTTAATTAGTACTTGTTGCTATGTTGTTGTTACACAAATACAATTAAATCGGCTTTTATCAGTTTAAAGATATAAAATCTTATTGTCAGTTAAACTTTTTCAGATTTGTCATATTGTTTATGTGATATTTATAATACTATGAGAAGAGAATAGCAATTGTAAAGATTTTAAAGTATAGAATTTTCAGACATCTCAAATTAATATATTTTGTGCTGTTATTAAGAACAATCTATGATGAGATATTTAAATATTTTGCTACCTCTCCTATTCAATTATGGAAAATTTCAGTACCATTTCGCTTCTGAAAAACCAACTTTTTTTGGTAAGTATCATATTGCTTACTTTCTTTCTTACAATTTGCGAACAGAAACAACCCATGAATGTCATATTTTTAAGTCAGATGTACTCATTTTGGAACTTGATAATATAAATCGTTCGTTGCCTTCCTGATCAACTTTGGAGCTTAAAATTGTTTTATCTTATATTTCAACCTGTTCCACTTTAATATTTCCTCAACAAAATTCATGTAGCCAAATTTATTATGCAATAGGGATCAAGTACTTCATCAATGCAATACTCGTTTTAAAAATATGATTTGCGATGTTTTTAAACTTTTATTATTTATTGGGATTTTTTTTATTTGCTAGAAAATCTTTATTATTTGCTATTTGACCACTATAAGGTCATAAAGTGCTGTGGGTGAAAAAAAATTGCTTGCCATTACAATCGCGGTCCAATTTATGCGTATTTGTTTGTTTTAGTACGGAAAAACTGGATAGTAAAGGCTCCGCAGTGAAAATGTTAAACAAAATTTAAATTTCTCAAATTGATAAGAAGAAAAAATCGACTACGAGAAAATATAAAATTTCCATGAAAAACGTGAATCAAATAGGGTAATTAGAAGAAAAAAGTTTGACAAATTAAAATATTCAAGCAAAACCAAATTATGATGTAAAATTAAAAATCATAGATGTGAAAAGCAACCAAATGTTAACGATAAAGATGAAGAGTTCACTATTTGTTATATGTGCAATAAATAGCTTCTGTCGAAATCATTTTGATTCTTTCTTCTTTTTCAGTTATCGTATATCCTTGAGATTTTCCTTAATCATTTTTCTTTTTTTTTTTTTTTTTTGTTTCCTCACGACCAAAAGAAATAATGGTAAAGATTTTCACTTTTTTCAGGACTTTCTTTTTTTCTTTCATCCGATAGAATCTGGGTTGTTCTTTATTTCATGAAATTTAATTTAATTTTTTCATGTGGTCATTACAAGGGATCAAAATGTCATGTTTTTGTGTGTCTCATCGACGGTATGGCATTAAAATACAAATTTATGTAAACAAAAATTCTGTTCTACAAATATTTCAATTCAATTTAAAAAAAATTAAAAAAGTTATTATTGAATATGATTATTGACAATCTATACTGTTTCTCATTTCTACGCATTTACTTTCACGATTTAGTAACATTAAGAGACAAAATACCATAAAGATGATGGAAGTAAAAATTGTCTTTCCTAAAGCAACATGATGAATCATTCATGGAAGGACAGTTAGAGACAACAAAATATCAAGAAAACTTAAAATCTAGTGGAATCCACATATTAACCTTATTTTTTATTTTCCATTCAGGTATTAATGCTTCTTTTAAAAGAGGTGTATCACCAAATGTTGAAATGTCACAAGTGAATTACTATCCGCCACCTGATATTCCACGACCAGATATTTTATATCAACATGTCAAGTGCGTTTCTTAAAGTTTTTTTTTTTTAAAAAAAATCATGCCGAATTGATGTTATTTATCCCTTACTTTCGTAGTCAAAATAAATCTTCCGGTAAGATATTAAAGAAATACTTTTGCCAATTTCTTAAGTCTTGATAGACAATTCACAAGAAAAGTCGAGATTACTGAGTTATAGATTACAATATATGTTTTTATCATATTGTTCACATTTCTCCATCCTTTTTCATTTTTTTACGACGTTTTTTCATTTCTGAAGTTTTCGCTTGTAAAAAATTGACTTATCGAGTTGCAAATTAGAGTAATATAGCGTTGTTATTCAATCACTTTCAATTACTTATGCATATCAAAATTAATTTCACTTGAAATGATCACTTTAGTAACGGATGGACAGATCTGAAATACCGATTAAATGCCAAGGAAGTGTATCGTCCAGTTAAAGCGTTATTCACAATCCAAAATCTTGGTCAGAATAATATGGCTTTAGTAGCTCGTGTTGAAAAGACAGCTAGCATTTCAGATGCTCAAAAACAAGGTTTAATTTTAATTCTCAAGTTCTAAAAGCATCAGTTTAAATGGAATTATCAATTTATTACACCTATTGTTGATCAAAAAGTATATTTTTGATGGAATATTTTCGGACTAAAAAATTCTAGGATGTTAGTCTTTGCTTTCTTGTTCAGAATCTGAAAGTGTGTGTGATATCCTTCTATCAGATATTAGAAAAGAAAAAAAGAAAAAGAGACAAAGAATGGTTATTGTCACTGATGCGTGTGTGTGTTTACATTATTCATTGAGCACTTTGGACCTTATTGCTAGAATCTCTTAGAGTCATGAATACATGTTGCAGTCTCAAAATCAGTGGAGTATTTTTTCAATCCAACATGAAATGATTGGTAGTGTCAGATAATTCGAATCGTTCATTAAAAGATTAATGAAAACTTGTGTCTTTTACAGCTATCAGCAGTTCTAATCAGCAGCGAACAGTTGTAAATTTAAGTCGAGAGCATGAAACCAAAGAGAGAATATCTCTAGATCCCTCAACAACTGGATGCATTTTGACTGGAAGCATGGAAACTAAAAAAGAAATTACAGAAGAACCTACTGAACTATTTCAAGAACCGTTAGCATCTTCCGGTAACGATGAATTGCAGCAGCATCATGCTTCTTCAATATCTTCGACTTCCTTTCTAAATTCAGCAGTTTCCCCATCAACACAGCACCAAGTGTTAGATTCATCTTATCCTATGAACACAAAGCAACCGGGAGCAAAAGAGTATGAATTTCATGATTATAAGGAACAGTTGTATTTTACAACTTCCGATGCTACAATAATTCGCAATCCGTCAGGTAGTGAGCAGCAATTTCAAGCCGAAAATACAATGTCTGTAACTACATCCATAGTAGTGCAGGGTGTTCCACAGGAGGCTATGTCATCATCAGATATCAGATCAAAACAACTACCTTCTAATTTCGTAAATAGTACTCTATTTAGTGAAACCAAAGAAAAGCAAAAACCAAGGAGATTTTCAGAAACTGAAGAAGTCTCAAAAAGTCACTATGAAACTTCTGTTGATCTAAGTGAATTTTATCCGGATTTATCGACGAATACAGTTTCATTCTTTTCATTATTAACAACTGTTGAACCTGATATTCCAATGAATCTCCCTGTTGTAAACACAGAATCTCAGGGATCAGCTATTCAATATTCTAGTGATATTCATGAAACCAACATTTTAGAAAACACAAAAAATTCTTCTGGAATAGTAGTGGTAAATCAAAATAATTTATCACAAACTGGAAAAAAATTATTTCAACCAACAGATAACGCGTCGCCTGTTGAGAAACAGTTTGTTAAGCCAAGAAATCAATCACTGTTACCCTTTCATTTTTCTATGAAGAATGGAATTATTATTTTTAATAATGTGTCATCAAGTAAGCATACATCAAAGCAAGAAACAATTCCCAGAAGTTCTGCATACTTTGGGTCTGACACTGATGAAAGCAATATAAGCAATAACAACACTACACTGGAAGAAACCACTCATGAAGAGACATTGGTGTCAACGGCAATGATTTTCGAAGAGTCGCCCGTACTTGAATCTTACCACGATTTATCAGTTGAAGAAATTCCGAATGTCACTAATGAAAAAGAAACTTTGAGTAACTTTGGACAGGAAACAGATAGCTTGCACGGCAGATCTAAATTTGAGCAGCATTCACCACTCACTAGTAGATACTATCCGGAGCAAACATCACTCAGTAATGGATATTATCCGGAGGAACAGCATTTACCCTCTGACTTGGGTACTGAAGGCATCGTTAGTACTGAAATTAATGAACAAAATTATCAAACCACTGATATCTATTTAACCAATATTTATCCCAGCTATGAAAACAGAGAAGTAGTTGAACATGGCAAAGTCCCAAACCAGTTAGGTCACATCGATATTTCTGAACAGGAGCAGGTTTATTCATACTTCTTTCACTTTAAATTTCTTCAAAAATAGAATACAACTTTTATGTTCTTAAATGTACATTTGAATATCCGTAATGAAGTACCAGGGCTACAAAGATACAGTTTTCAGAAAAACGTGTTCTGAACAATTAATAACTTTTATTTGTAAGGAAGAAATGAAATTTATGACGAAATTTTCATCCTAAAATAGAAATTTTATAATTAATATTGGGTAGTAATATGCAATATAAATTTATTCTTCTGCAAATAAAGAGATGAAAGGAATAGGAGGCATTGCTTACAGAAAATATTTTTAGATTGATAAAATGAAGATGAGTTCCGATCTGCATTTATCCGGCATAGGTAATTAACCAACAGAATTGTTTGCACAACAAAATAAAATCAATTAACTGCCTTTCTGCATCATTCGGTTTATGCTTGTAATGTACAGCAGGTTTCATTGTTAGAACAATCTTGTATCATCTGCAAGTTATTAACACAAATGCAGGTTATCATATTATGACATGTGATAACGTTAATTTGTTTTACAGCTAAAGTTATGTGAAACACTTTAGCTAACATATTATGACAATTGCTTTAGTTTGATCAAAGCATTCAAAGAAAAAAAAAGAGATTTTTACTTTTTTTTTTAAAACCTACTCTCTTATAAGAAAACATTCAGTAGCAACAGAAAAATTTATCATAATTTTGTACTCCCATCCTCTTCTCTTACCTTTCGTGGATTTTTGAATATTTGATTGAATTAATAGTACAAGCACATATGAATTGATTAAAGTAATGTTGTGTAATTGACAAAATTAAGTTGAACTAAAGAGCAGCACGGATATTCTTTTCATTTTATGGCAGAATTAGCTTTTTTTAAGCAAGCAGATTTTTTATGGGAAAAATAAAAAGCATTCATTCATTGAATTCAATTATTTAAATTATAAAGCCGTAACTATGCCAAAACTGGTCAAATATTTGTTATCATTAGTTTTGAAAAAAGGCGAATGAATTCTTTTCTAGCAACCGAATTTAATAATCTTTTAAATCATTTCAGTTTAAATTTAATGTAGAAAGAAATTAATAATTCGCAGGAAAGTTAATTCTGCTATAAAAATCTTATTATGCTACTGTTTTCGGTTTCTTTGATAAGTTTGCAGATATCACCAGCACTGCCAGTGATATCACACAGCAAAGCACAGTGGTCACTGAAATGAAGTCGGAAGTTTTCAACGAAATTTATGAAGTCAAACAGCTTGAATCAAGCAGCACTAGTAATGAAAAAAACTGTAATATTTCATAAAACGAAGATATTCACTATTCACAGCAAAGATATACTCTTTAAAAATAATCAGAAATTTAGATTAGAAGTTAAATTATAATGGAAGAGATAACAGGAACTTTTAGTTAGAATAATGATAATGAATGTTACAATTTTTGCTTAATTATTAATAAAAGCAGAGCTGCACTTTTTCAAATGATATCTTTGCAAATAAGTCGAATTGTTAACAATTGCATAACCTCAAATTTTTTTTAATTAATTTAATTCTTTATTTCCTAATTCTTTATTTTCTAGTAGTTTCAGATGCAGAAGAAACTATGCCGTCAATGCTTCTGCAGATAACGAACGAAATACCATTATCAGTAGCGATAACATCGACTACCATTCTAGCAGGAATTCATCGAACTGAAATACCAATCAAAGAAATCACTGATGATAATCATGCAGCATCCATGAACTGGTATGCAACATCATCAATAAGGCTTGGAGAATCGAGACAACATGTTATCCTTCCTATTTCCGAAGTAAAAGTTGATGATGAAATGTCTGATACTTCGGGATTAGTTAGCACCACACAAGAATCTTCAGAAGCAATCAACATTTCCGCACCAACTCCTCCTGCAATCATTTTACTTCCACCATCTGTTCCGTTATTAGCTGTGACCGAAATTTCATCAGATGGCTATTCAACTGTTGAGGAAGGTTGGCAAGTCAATCCTTCTCACATTGATAAAGAATCTTCAGAAGATTTGTTAGAAGCAACTTCAAGTTATCTTGAAGAAGTAAGTGAAAATGATTGGAATTCTCAATTTAAAAGTGAAGTTCCTCAATCAAAAATACTTCATAATGAAACAGCAGATGAGGTAGAGTCCTTTTCAGTTCATTTTTTTTTTTTTTTTGGAAACACTGTTAAAGAACTTCATATGTTGTAAGAAGCATTATCAATGTTACCATTTACAGTCTGATTTATTCTCAAATATGAAAAATCTGATTTCATACTTTTCAATGCTCGAATATATATATTCAAGTGTTTGAAAAAGTTCAAAGTGAGAGGTAATAAATACGTAATATTCCGCAAAAAGCTACTAATTATTCAATGCAGAAAATTTCTTTGGTTAATGAAAAATGTGTTTATTTTTGCTGATAATACAAAATTTTGAATCAGATTAAAAATAGTGCAGCGTCATCCTATCCCAGCAATTTTCATGAATATAAAAATGACGATGATGGTAACGTCATGGCTATAGTAAGTATAATTCGAAATTAATTAATACTTCAAAATTAATTAATACTTCAAAGTAACTACTCGCCATATTTTAATATAATTTTTACAAGAAAAAAGGCAACAAATATTCAGTACAAAGGTGTCTTCTCGATATTTGCTTACCTATCAGCCCAAATACAATATTAAAACTCTATAAATAGAATTTAAACAATGATTTTATATAGAATACATGAGTACTAATCCCGAAAACTATTAATTAAGTCTTTCTGTATCTCACAGTTTAGTCTTGGACTAAAGAATAAATTTCACCACTATTTTTTTGATTACTTCACATGGTATAATTTTTTTTTTCCGGTCGATAAAAATCGGCATTTAATTCGAAATGAAAGCCCGCGAAATACACCTATAACTGGTAACCAATCCAAGATATCAAAAGGTTTTTTGCCTTACTTACAGAATTTCAAGCAATTTTCAAAAGTTAAAAGACAACTTAATATTTTTTCTTAAAACTAATGAAGACTTTAATTATATTGAAGAATTCAATATATATGAAGGTTTTCTTGCTGAATATAAACTATTTCGCTAACTAAACATTAATTTTATATTTCTATTTAAAGATGGGGTTTTTAAAGAATTAATATTTGTATAACCTTTTTAATTACGTTGGCTTAGACGCTATGCTATCAAACATTATAAAAATATATATATATATACGATTTTCCATCATCAAAAGATACTTATACCCAGCTTCACTAAAATATACTATTATAGCAAGAAACACAGAAAAACTTGCTAGCATATCCTCCAAGGATATTGTTTCAACAACCTTTTTTCCCATTCCGATAATGCAAAACCGATATGTAAGCATTTCGCCTGGATACGGCACTGTTGGTTTGTTTTGTATCGTAATTGATATTTTAATATTGAATTTGTTTTATATCCACTTAGTTTTACATTTAAGGTTACTTTTTTGATGCAGTTAAAAAATGGACTTTTTGATTAATTTAACAAGATCACACATAGGCGAAACAATTATACTATATTTGTCAATATTTTTTCTCAATTCAGTTATTAGTAATTTGAATGGACTCCTTCGACCAACCATCATACGGTACCTAGCTAGATTGCAACTTCAAGGATATTTACTTTCTCATGATAATTATCTGAGAAAATCTGTTTAGATTACTTTTTTGTTGTTTAATATATGCTACCCTTAAATTGAAACAATCAAAGATTTAGTGTCATATAATTTCATTTAAAAACGACAATTTTAGAAGTTAATAACAGTTCTTTTGTTTTATAGAATCAACGAAAATTAATAAACCACAATTCATCCCACAGCCATTACCGTCAAATTCAGTAAAGTTCCCCAACACAGCCCAGCGTTTCAAGCCTGTACTTTACCAGTCATACATCCCACAAAAACCATTCTATACCAGCTTCCCGAAAGCAACAATTCACAGGAAAGAATCGTTAAATGCCCCATCATCAATGTTTAATTTAAAAAAAGGCAGGGAATGCTGTGGTGGCAGTGGTCACGGTAATGGCGGTAGTAGATATCAGAGTTGCGGTGGTGGATTTGTTACAAACTGTTCACCATACTGTTTATTGCTTCCTTGTAAGTTAATCATAACCATTACATTAATGCTTGATCATCTTGAGAAGTAACATAAAATTTGCACGAAATTTAAATTTACTGCATAGTGCAAACAAAAGATTATAATGTCATTTTATTAAGTTTGTTCAGTTAGCGTCACTCTTCGAATTAATTCAACTATATTCAAATTACTACTCGTAAATGCAAAATATATTTACAGGCTGTTGTTGCTATCGCTGTCCTACCTGTAAGTCCTATTAAGCTTTTAAAATATTTCTCACTTTTTTTCTTCTTTTTTAATTATTAAAATTATCAACGATATCAATTGATTCTAATGGCCAAATCACTTAGTAATGGCATGAATGATGCGCATTTTATAAGGTAACTTCAACGGCTTCATGATATTTATGCAAATAAATTTCCTTATAGCAATTTCACTACTTTTCGTTAACTGATTTCACTTAGTGATTAACTGTCTTACACACAGGAATTAATGATAATAATTTTATTGTTTCAGTTTGCCTTCAAACAGTTCCATTATGCTCTCTGCCATGTCTTTGTCGTGCTGCTAATAAAATACACAGATTATTTGTTGGAGAAAACTGTTAATTTTTATTTCGCAAACATTTATCATAGGAAGCGATGTCGTTGGCAGGAACGCTTTTGATTAAAATGACTGAACATTTCAACAAAACTATAAATTGTTCCTTCAGTGTGAAAAGTGAAATGAATTCAATCTCGCTAAAATATATTAACATCATTTATTTTATTGCTTGAATTGTCTTTAGATGTAAAGTCTGATATGAAAGGACAAAGTCGTTGCATATATTAAATAGTGATAATTTGTAAGCTTGTTAATTTTGATAATGTAATAATTATTCCTGTCATCTAATTTTTATGCCACATTGTTTTTGAAATTTTGAAGATTGCGATGTTTAACAAATCTTCAAACTATAGCAAACAAAACTGAGGGAAGATGGAATTTTATCAGTTCTTATCTCAAACTTTATATCACATACGAACAGATATGTAATTAAATCTATAGAGCATATTTTGCATTGTTTTTAATTGTATAGTATCGTGCACAAAAATATTTCTAATACTAAACATTAGATAAGCAGTACGCTATCCATCGAACATACAATTACTGGTTGAAAAAAATTTTGATGTACTAAAGAAAAAATAAATTTTTCCGGAAACATCTCTATTGCCTAATAAATAAATAAAAATGCTTTTAATTGAAGTTTCATTACTGTATTATATCAAAAATAATGCAACTGAAGTCTAATATTGTCATGCAAAATCTAAAATAATCATGCATTATTGATTCGTTCAATCTACACTTCTGATTTAAACAATATATTATCGATTTTGTCCATTAGCTAACTTGAGATAATCAGCATGGATCAGTATTTTCTCAGTTAATGAACAGTGATCAAGTATCACTACTTCACGTAACTTAATCATTGCCAAATTTTTGAAATGAGATGAATTGTCACTAAGTCAAATTTTCTGAAAAAAGTTATTATCTTGTAGTTAGTTAGTTTCATTTTTTTTTTCGTTTCGTATTTTGTAGTAAATGATTATAAATAAAATTATACAGAACAAGTAAAAATAAAGGTAATATTGCAGTTACTTTAATTTATCGTAATTCATGGTATGAATTGAATTTATCAGATAGTCCAAATGGTCATTCTTTGGTAATAAAGTGTAATGATAGAAATTCTTTGGAGAAAGCAACACTTGCATTATCATCTACAACGCACAGGACAGCTGAGTGAAGGGCAAGAAAATGATGAACAAACGGGTGTGACAATGATAACGACACTATTAGGTCATCCTTCTGGGTCAAACTCAAATACAACTACATTATTGCTTTTCTTATTTCATCGACTCTTCGGTCAACTCAATCCACTAATGTTTCATTCCAGGATGTTTTTATTATTAGTCCTATCGAGTAACTTAAATTTTAATTTATCAAGCGAGCGACGCACTAATTTATATTCTACAATTCATTTTTCCGGACTAAGCCTAACGACTTTATAGGTGGCCTGGGAAGCCAATAATCGGTTGGTAAACGCTCCACTCTGTTATTAGTGGTCCGTTTATTATTTTAATTCATTTCACTAAGTATGAAGATCATCTCATTCGCTTAAATAAATCATATAAACTCAAACCTAAGGAGGAAGCCACACCTGCAAATGATACTATCATCATTCATTACACATTTTTTAACACAGTTAAAATAGATAATAAATTACCTTTTATTACAGATCATTTCAATGCGTAGTTTCTGGTTATTATTTGTATTTCTTTATAATGGAGAAGCTGAATTTCAACATAATCGTATGATCTTCTTCGAGTTTTTCTGAACTTATCAAAATTATAAATCAATAGCTCATAATCTTCAAATTTGATATGAATGCTGGACTTAAAATGCTTTTAGTATCAGTAGTGTTTATTTAGTTCAACTACAAAAAAAAAAAAAAAAAAGTGATATTTGTAAAAAGTGAAGAACTGACTTTATTATAGAGTTTCGACGGTACACTTGCGTGATAAGAAACGAAAAGGAGCCATCCGATTGCACGTTAATGTTCAAAGATGACATTGAGAGGACAACAACCAATCACAATGGATGTTTTACAGTGAGTAGTAACTATTTTGCATGATGGTTTCATTCATTTTCTTATCGATGTATTCAGATATGAAATCAGTGTTGATAGTAATGTAATTTCATTTTCACTAATTTCCTTCGTTCTAGGAGAAAGATGCAACACGGAATCAAATTTTGACATATTGTCCATTGCAATGCGCAGAAGCTGAATCAGCTTATGTGATGTTAAAGCGTCCTTCAAACAATAACAAGTGCTTGGCTTTTTTTACATATAATGTTGCACAGCGTAAAAATGACTGGTTCTTATGGCGATCCGGAAAATGTCTCTTTGAAGAAATACAATTCGATATTGGTTGTACATTTCCATTTAAGAAGAATATAAATTCCAATACAATTAAGCAAAATGTAGAAGTTGTGGAATGAAATCCCAAATACTTTAAGGCCACTAAGAAAGTAGAGAAAAAAAACCTTCCGATCTAATTCCTACTATTTTCAGCATTAGGACAAAACAGCATTACTGAAGGTCAAAAAATGATAACAAAGCAAGGAATGTTGAAGTACTTAATGAAAAATTATATAGTACAATGGTCATTTACATTTCAAATAGATCATTCACTTCATACTAGAAAGAACAAAATGCAATCATAACAAATCTAAGGCGTAATTTTTACAAAAAATTTAATTTCTACCGAACTAAAAGCATCTTTTGGATTGTTTTAAGCCCTGTTCTTAATTCCAGAACACTCTTCATGAATAAAATTCATTTGCAAGAAGAAACTTTTGTTTTCAGTTTCTATAAAAATTTTATTGTAAGAATCATTAAATGTAATTTTATATTTCTGACGCATAATACAGTCAATATTACAATTTAGTATTTTATCTGTTCACTTAATAATTTTATTAAAAAGACATATCTAAATTTAAGAAATAAAAATAAACGATACGTTTAAATAATACATTTCTACCCTTTATTAACTTTCTAAAATTTGACTAAAATGAATGTTATAAACGCCCTCACATTCTATTGGAAGCAAAATATAAAGCACCACAAAAACTTTTTCAAGTTCTACTACTCCTTTTTTTCTCTATCGAAGATAAATGCTAAAAATATTTATAACTCAAATTATTAAATCTCATTGTGTTTTAGCAAAAAACAAATATCTTGATTCAAATATTAATTTCATCAAATTAAATTTTATACAGTGGGTAATGTCCAATTTGTTTATGAGAGTACAAATAAATATGGCAATGGGCTGAATTTATTTTATTTCAAATGAATTCCTAACCAGTGGAAGAATTCGTGAAAACAAAATAAAGATGTGAAATTCAAGACTAAAATGAATAAAATATAAGCACCATAGGCTTTTTTATTTATTTATTTATTTTATTTTATTATTTTTATTTATTTATTCTTTTTTTTTTTTTGAGAAGACCCGAATAAAGTTGGCAGGCTTTCTGAATTAACGCAAAATCGAAATGATTTTAAGTATTTCAGACATGATTTTCTTTTTAAACAGTTCCTTTAATAGTATTTGTTGCTAAAAAAGTAAAATTTGATAAGGTGAATTTCTGTATCAATGATAACATCACACCTGTTATATAAAAATAATCTGCTAACAAAAATTTCCTTTCAAAGTAAAAGGAAATTTTTCAATTACTGCTTATGTTAGCATATCACACCGAAAAACTTCCAATATCTATTTGGAATATTAGATCATTCCCTGCACTAAGCCTTCTCGTTAAAATTAAAGTTAAAGTGATGACGCTTTAAAATGAACTAGTCAGTAAAGTATTCCTGTTACTCCTTTGTCAGCGATTTGAATTTCCTGGACACAGCCATTAACACACGGTATTTCTTCCTTGATCCAAAAAACTCTTTGCTTTGATCTAATCCAATTATCGCACTTTCAAATCCTAAGTGGAAGAAATCCTGATACTGATAGCTCTTCCATCTTTTTCATTAACATCTCACATTGTACTAGGAACTAGTTGACCGAAGGTGTAATACTCACTTTCTACAATAAAGTAATTAAACCTGAAGACTTTGGATGTAAAATCAGTACATTCTAACACTGACTACGACAAGTCAAAGAGCAGTTGTCGAATATATTATGTATCATAGCTTGACAGTTACATGAACCTCTTCAGGGTTCATATTCGTGTTAGCTATTTCGTTACCATGAGCTGTTAGCTACCGTTACCATGAGCATGTTAACTGTAACTTCGAACTGCATAGTGCGCAAACACTTCATTGTCTTCTCGATGATTAGCAAAAAATATTATAATTCTATTTGAAATTTAAGTTTTGTTATACTATTTCGGTTAATGATCCAATGTTAAATTAGTAACAGAGCAACTGTTAAGTATAAAGCTACCAAACAGAATTGATAGCTGATAACAATGAGCCACTATATTGAACGATTGGTATGTGATAGGGATTGAATACACTTGAGTCAATATGGTTATCATTATGGATGAATCAAATTTAAAATCATTGTCTCTAAAAAAATAATTAGTAATTTGAATCGTTGTTTTCATACCTCGGAAATGTTCGGCTTGATTTCAAATCTTGTAAAATGCAATCTTATAATAATATCAATATTATCACTTATCCTTATATTAATTATCCTTCAGGATGATAGTAGCATTCAGATCTATTAAGTTTCCAAGGAATGTTTAGACCTGCTGAAAAAAAAGTAACAGAATTTTCAAACTTTTCTAATCATGTCACAAGAAACAATGATTTCTTTTCAGAAAAATCATAAAAGTAACCAAAATACCTCATTTCTGCAAAAGGATGAAAACGGTGAGCAGAACTGAATTGTTGCACTAGATTCCAGTAAGATAATTCGAAAACTGCTAGGTGGTGTTATGCAGTTATTGAATTACTGGGCCTGACCAATGGAGAATTAAATGAAATATTTAGCAATATTATTGCCTTTTTAAAATGGCTATACTTAACATGCCATCAGGGTCAGTAAAGCGAAATGGCCAGATGGTCCTATTGATGACAAGTGATGTAATAAAATAATTTTAAAATACCATGTTTCAAAGAATGTCCTAATAAGATTATTTACAGTTTGTAAAAGTTAAAATAAATGCCTCGAGCAATTGCTTAAAAATATCCAGCAAAATGGTACTCAATGTTAAAAAATTAGATTCAATCGAAAGCTAACACTGCTGTCACTGGGAATTAAACTGAGCACTGTTTATTAATTGTTAAAAGCCATTTCAGTTAATTAGGGGCTCATTATTAGAATGAATTTTATGTTCATTAACAAAACATTTACAGAATGTAGGAATATTTTCTGCACATTGTGCTAAGGCACACATTTCGTGAAAGGCTTTACTGATTGAAAATAAAAATGTCAATAATCGTAAGGCCATCGTAATTCATTAGGATAAAAACGATCAATCGTGGAAATATCGAATGTGAGATACGAAATTAAGAGATAATCGATACTGGGAAGTATTATGAGTGATATTATCGGAAATATGAAATGAGGGAAATATAAGTTTGAAATAAATCATCAAAAAATAATACCAAATTTATGGAAAAGTAGTTTGAATTTGTAAAACAGCAAAATTATTGCCAGCATTCTCGCAGCTTTTTCAAGTAATTGCCAGGTCTTCCAATGTATCTCATCATCATACAGAAATTATTTAGAAAGATATAAATGCAGTCTGACGTGTTTTTAAAGGCTTTTACGTTTAATCATGCAAAAGCATAAGCTTACCAAACGTGTTCTCCACTCTTTGCATCAAAAATACAATCCGTGTTTGTAATTATTCATATATAATGCGAAAATTTATTGGATAGAAAAGTTAAATGTATAAAACCCTTGCGCATAAAGGAATACGTACATAAGCAAGTTATTTAACAAACGGATTAACAAACGGATTAAAGCTGAAATATACTTTAATGGTTATAATTATTGGGATTAAAGCACTTTTCAATTATATCTTATAGACAAATCAAAATCTGATCATTTTAACACTTGACATGACCCTGTTGATTATAAAGCAATATCAGATTAATTAGCTGATGCAACTATAAACAATATCAGTGTTGGAAATTCAAGTAATTTATGTAATAATACAAGATCTGTCTTTTCGAGTAGTCCAGAAAAGTAACAAGCAATAATTTGTATAAGCTGTAAGGAAAGTAATGAATAATGGACTAAATATTTGCTGCAACTTAATGCACGATTAAGTTTGGGAAGTTAATGAAAACTAATAATTAGTAAAAAAGAAATCACCTTTTCACTTAATACTAGCCCAAAAGAAAGACTGATGTTGTAGAAATATAAAAAGCGTTCTACTCATATATTCAGATTGTCCCTTCTGGCTACAAACACGGATAAAAAAAAAAAAAAACCCTGGAAAGCTCCTTTCACAGGGCAAAAAAGCCACTCATGACTATTGTGACTGATATTTTAAAAATTTTCATGAAATCCAATGCACAAGCCAAAATTCCATTATTTTCTATATAGCTTCAAACGTACCACAGCACAGTTGTTCTATAGCAAAAAGTTCATAACAAAGAGGATAAATTGTGAAGCAGTAGTAAATGAAAATGAAAATCATTACAACCATTCTAAGATATATTAAAATTGTGTACTGTCTACTGCAGTGAATGTAAGTGTACATGTCATCTTGATTACTTAAAGTATGCTACACACAACAGAACACTTTCATGAAATCTTTCCAAGTTTTCTACTTTCACCTTCCCATCCGTACCTGTTTCCACTTCATTATCAAATATCATGCTATGAACGTACAAAATGTTTGCCAAAAACCGCTTTTCGCAACTCAATTCAGACTTTCTTGTAAATAAGAAAAATTCCGTACCCAAAACACATACGAGTGCAACGAAATCTGATATCTGATATACATACGAAAAATGATATACATCCGCTATACCCTGTTATTATACTCCCTGATATCATCTTATCCGAAAATTCAATCCCTTAAAACCCTAGCTCCAACTGAACTACATTGCTTGCATACTACTTCTAGGGATTTCAAGATCATAATTTTAAGTTGTAAAGATTTGAATCGGAAAACACTAGTCACCTCACTTAAACATAACGGTTCCCAACGAAAATGCTTTAATCTCTGAATGATTTAATTTATAATCACAAGAAAAGTGAAAAAAGTTGGAATGAGTTTATACTGAGAATGACGAATGAAAAGTCAAACAAAATTTTGCTGCCATGTAATTACAAAGTGCAAGAAAGAAAAATATTCACGGCAAGAGAAAAGAAAGGAATCAGAAATGTTAAATCTGGAAACACATATAAACTGCCACGAGGATATGTTGCAAACAAAACAGATATGCCGCTTATACCTTATCAATTTGATAAATTTATTGAACATTAAATACTGGTAAGAGAGATGGAATGACTGCCGTGTTTCTAAAAGCAATCATTATTTTGCTGCAACACTATAATGGGCTTAAAAAGCATGCTTTTACTTAGCACTTATTTCAAGTTTATTCATTTTTTATCACTCCTTACTCTCGTCTTCGTCATGTGTGCCCATATTTCCACCTAATCAACCTGTCAAAATTAGCAAGAAGCACTGTCGTGCAAACCAGTATGAAATTATATGCATGAGTAAATATTATCAGTATTTTCAAGCCACCAATAAGCAATCAGCCATCAATTTGAACATATAAATATGACAGCTTGTTTGGATATTAACAAATTCAGCCGCCAAAACCGTACAAAGTACGTCCTTGACGTTTCAAAGCATAAACAACATCCATTGCCGTAACCGTTTTTCGTTTGGCATGCTCACAGTATGTCACGGCATCACGTATAACGTTTTCCAGGAAAACCTACAAGATTTCCGAAATTTCTGAGGAGAATGATAATTGCCTAATATTTTTGAAAACATATGACAATTAGACACTTGGAAATGTTACCTTCAACACGCTACGCGTTTCTTCATAAATGAGACCTGAAATTCGTTTCACGCCACCACGACGTGCCAAACGACGAATAGCTGGCTTCGTTATACCTTGAATGTTATCACGTAGAACCTTTCGATGGCGCTTAGCGCCACCTTTTCCAAGACCTTTACCACCTTTCCCACGTCCAGACATCGCCAAAAAGAAAAGTTAATTTCCTAAAATCAATACCACTTACATCATACGCCCTCAGTTTAAGTCCAGCAGTACGCAATAACGCACAACCCCACTTTCACGACACAACCGAGAAGTAACCGGCTCAAGTAACGCGGAAACTTCGGATGATGAAACACACAGCTTTTATACCATTTAGATGGTGTCGCAGCGACATTTTTGATCTCAATTTAAAACCGATAGTTTCGATGCTAGCCGATGATGACATCCCTGGAAGGGAATAGAAGGGAACTATTTGTTCGTTATGAAATTCAATTCAATTTATGTCCAGGAATTAGCATGGTTCATAACGTCGCAAGGATGCAAGTAAAAAGACTGGGATTTCTGTTCCTCAATCCGACATATATTTTCTGCATGATATCGCATAAATGTAGACATCATATCTGAATTTTGTTATGGCTTTCTAATCTAAAAATCAAGTCCTCAATACAGCTAATGCTGACTTTTTCACTCACTGCAACCGTTTCTCAAACGTGCATTACATTTTTTAACAACTGACTAAAACGGTAGAGATATCTTGGATATCACTGTAGAAACATTTTGCTGCCACTAAGATCTGGCCAAGAGTCAAAAACACTCCTAGTCCTACGCTGAAGTTATTTAAAACAGGATGCTTCCAGCATTCTTTCTTAGACAAACTAAGAAATTTCAGTGAAGCCATGTGTAGCGGGTCGAATGTCTTCATAGCACGGTTGTAGTGCTATCCGATAAGCATGGGGAAGGGAGGGAGTTGGACTTACTAAAAACGACCAAACCCATCGTCTCTCTCGGCGATACGCAGAGGGCCGTTTGGTATTTTGCGGGCGGTTTAAATGAAGGATTTTGATTGATAGTGACAGTGTGTCTGATGGCGTTCAGGTGTAGGGTTTCGGTGACAGTGTGTCTGGTGGCATTGGGATTCCAGTAATAGTGTGTGCAGGAATTGGGATCCTCCAAGATGTAAAGATTTCGAAATATATAATAATTTAGAAAGTGTGATAACGGGAGTTGATCGAATCAGAGAGGTCTTGCTATTTGTCACAGGAAGTGGAAAATCTACATTGAATGTTGGAAAAAAGGTGTCGCATTATCGGATAAAGGCGAGCATATGTGTTCTCTCCTAGCTGGAATCATCTCCAGAACAGAACAGTGTTGCAGGAATGTGAAGCCACCGTTCGCGACAAAATTCTGAAGATCAATGGGTGAAAAATACAAGGAACGGTATGCAAATATAATTTTAATCAGTCTACTTCTTGAGTGTGTGTAATAGATCTCGGGAATTTTCCGAAGATTCCTTGGCCCCATATACATTTAAGAAATAAATTACTACTCTATCGCTGATTGTGCTAACCTTCGCTGATTATGACTGATCATTTGGCATCTTCAATTTACCTTTCTCGAAATTGGTCTTACTATGATTTCCTTGAGATCACCATTCTGCAAGTGCAAATACGACTTTTCCTGACTTTGCATACCAACATCATAGGCTTGAATTATATCAATTCTAGTATGATAACTCGGTTTATAAAACTGGTAGCTCACTTGTATATATATATATATATATATATATATATAATCCATATTTCAGCCTGCTGCAGTTGGAAAAAGTTTTGTTATTAAAAAATGCTGAAATAAATCTTAGAGACTTGAGACTTTGCTGCAGTTTTGGTAAGTTATCTTCCACATTTGTTACGGCATATTCTATTGCTTGTGGTTATGAGTAGATTTGGTTGTTTGAAAGGTATCCAGACCAGTCCTAATTAATTCCGACAGCTTCGATTTGAATTTTATAATTTTTTCGACGATGTTTTATTCAGTTGTTGTATTTAAGAGAGGATTAGAGCTTTTATAATTAGGTAGATTTATAGTTTAGATAGATTTTCGATCTTAAATTGATAGTGTTTACGTGCAACCTATTTCACTGTTAGGTGTTCCCGACTCCTTGCGACCGTTGTGTTGGCGCCTGCTTCTTGGTTACTTACCTATGGAACGACAACGGTGGTCCGTCTATCTACAAAAGCAGCGTGAAATTTATAATAGTCTTGTTGAAGATGTAATCGTTCATCCGGGCCAGTCATCTATGGAAGATCACGAGACTACTGTAGATCATGCACGTCATTTTTTTTAATTGAGCTTACTAAATGGTATAAATTATCCTTAACTTTGTATAAAATTAAATAGGGAGGCAAGTGGTTCATGTTAATCTTGCCAAGAATTAAAATCATACTAGATTAAGAGTCTATATTTAACTGATTAGGGAGCTGGGGAATCTAGCGATAGAATATTTCATTTAGACTGTTTTTAGCCGTTAAATCTTAACCCAGACAGTCAGTGGAATAATTATTTCAAGGACAATGAAGTATTGGCTCAAATAGACAAGGATGTTCGGCGGCTTTGCCCGGAAATCGATTTTTTCCAACGAATTACTGCTTATCCACATAGGTATGCTTTCCGAAATGGAAAAGTTAAAAGATTTTTCACATTTGTAAGTTCCCAATCATTTAAGTGGATGCGATTTTTTTTCACAAACAGTCTTGTCTTTGCCTTTTTCACGTTTTTTTTTTTCATAAATACTACGAAATATTTTTGAAAAATTGAAAGGGAAGATATCCGGTATTTACTTTTCATCACCCTTCCAGTTTTCTTTTATTGTCAGGACGTTCCGTCATGTATCACCCGTTTATGATAAGGCTGGTAATACAAATAAGAAAATTGTTGCTCCATCACCGAAACATTAGGTCTAATTTTTTGATTGATTAGATTGCTGATGTATTGTGCCATCATTAGCTATAAAACTTGCTGTGTTTTATTTTTAGATCAGCAGCAAAAATCAATTTATCATGTCGTGTTCGGCAAGAGAATCTTTATTCTGAAGTTCCACCAAGCAGTCATTTCAGTGCAGGGAATGTCAGTTCTTTGTACCATATCAATAGTTTGTGTTATTCCATGGTTACCTTTTCATCAACTTGTCGATGTTTAGTTGTCTTTTTTCAGTTTATTGCCTTGCCAGCTAAAACAGCCAGCAATGAATACTCCAGTGATGTTGATGAAAACGTTGAATATCACTGGCAGGTGGTTGAAAGAGTGTTATTCATGTATAGCAAACTTAATCCAGGAGTCAAATATGTTCAGGTTATTTCAGTTTATTTTATCATATATGATTAAAGTATGCTATTACTTTACAGATATTTCTATTCATTTTTTTAATTAGCCACTTTAAGATTGTTTCAAATGTTGAGGGAATGAATGAAATTATGGGTCCACTGTATTACGTATTTGCAAGTGATGCGGACGGCGAATGGGCAGAAGCGGCTGAAGCGGATACGTATTATTGTTTTCAGTTGCTGATGAGCGAAATTAAAGATAATTTTATTAAAACTCTGGATAGTTCTAGCTGTGGCATTGGTAAGTCTTTATTTAATTAATCAGTGTTATGTACGGAGCTGGATGATGGTGCAGTCTTGTAGTTTATGAAGTCCTTTATTGAAGGAGGGAAAAAAAAGAGAGAAAAAACAACTGTGGTTATTCTATTTTTTATCCATAATAATTATTATACAATGTCATTTTACCTTCCTAAATGTTTCTTATCTTGCTAACCTATAAAAGAAAACGAAAGGAAAAAGAAAGATAAATCTTGTACTTCCTCGATTCGATACTTTCAGAACATATTTCATGTTATTTAGTGGGTAATATAAAAAAGAGCTCGATTCTCCTTCGAACTACTCAAGTGTTGATACAGTACTTTTAAATTCTCATATTCTTTATTTCAATGAATTGAATCCCAGCATTAGGTTATCCACATTATAGAATCACTTCTCGCAGAATTTAATGAGAGACTGAGAAATTGTGACCCGGAACTGTATAATCATCTGGTCGATGTGGGTGTTAAGCCGCAGTTTTATGCATTCCGCTGGCTTTCTTTACTTCTGTCGCAAGAATTCTCCCTACCAGGTGAATACTTCTTCCACTGATATAAAGTTCATTTCCAGAAAATTAATATAAATATTTAATTTGCAGATGTTATTAATATATGGGATTCATTGTTTTCTTCCCCTGATCGTTTACGATTTCTTCACTGGATATGCTTAGCGATGATGGAGAAAGTTCGTATCGTATTACTTGAAGGAGATTTTACGTCATGTCTGGAAATGCTGCAGGTAATATGATTTAATAATTATATTACGTCAGATGTTGTTAGGAAATGCAAATGATTATTTCGGTTATCATTTCCAGTAGTAAGAAAATAAGAGAAATTTTTTAACTTGAAGCTATTGGTAATGTTAAGAGAAATTTTTTAACTTGAAGCTATTGGTAATGTTAAATGTCATTTAAATGGTAAATGTTGCTTTGCTAAGCTTTGTTTTACATTTCTACTCGCAACGTATGTGCAATCCCCCTGGGAAATTCTTATTTTGCCCACAGTAACATATGTTTTCAGGACAACAAACTATTGCTTTAATGAAGTGAAGTTTTTTTTTCTCACATTTAATAGCTCTTTGAAACCGCTGAATGATTTTTCATCAAACCAATTCCTTTGTTAATGTACTAGAAACATTGCCAACGAAACAATAATTTGCTACTTTTTTTTTTTGCAGAATTATCATGAAACTGATGTGGGAGAATTGATTGTGAATGCACATAAGATGAACGAAGGGTGCTACTATTTCAAAGGCTCGTATAATGACAACATGAAGAGTGGTTTCTCGAAAGTACAAATAAATCCAACTACCAAACTTGCCAGCACCTTTACTAGTGTTCTGAGGACATTGTCAAAGAAACAGTAATTTGCTACTTTGTTTCTTGACCCTCAAATATTTATTCATTTCCGAGTAATGTTTTGGAGGAATTCGAGTATTCGTAGTAGAAAAAGAGGGACAATTCAATTAAATAATAAACAGATAGGCAGTATTGTGCATAATCAGTACGAAATTGTTGCTATAACTGCACCGTATGCCACATGTGTGTTCCTCATGAATGTGGAATAAACTGTGCATCAGTCGTAAAATCAATGCGCAGTTAATTAAATAATCAAACAGATAATTAGACGCGACTAAAGAGTATATATCAGTTCGGTGAGAAATACATGAATGTGCAGATAAAAATTGTGAAGAGATGCGCGTAAATTTAAGTATATAGTTTCCAAAGTATTATGAATTTATTGTGAAAGCATGTATATTGTTCCATTACATCTAGCTTATGACTATTCAAATATGTCTCATTTAAATATAAATTGCATAATGTCAGTCATAATGTTTTTTCTCACATCTGGTTTTGCTCGTAAGCTAGGAATTTGGTTATGTTGTAGTGTTTTTTGCTTCACTTTTTAAATTATTGTAACAAATTTCAACCTCGTGGTTTTGTCGATATTTCGTAGTGTTCAACTTTTTCAATTTGTCATAATATTATACCCGATTTTATGTACTTTCATATTCATTTGTTATTTGAAGTCTAGAACAGGATGACCGGTTGATGTTGACATCTCTTGTTGGTGAAGTTTTCCATGTCCTTAAGATTTTTTTTGGTACAGTGGCATTAACTGTGTTAATTTTCTCACGATAATGAATCGGTTAGTTCTGTTTTCAGTTGCCTGTGGAGATAACATTGCCTTAGTTGGATACTTGTTAATTTATAATAGTTTGTTGATTTATAATAATTTGTTAATTTATAATAGTTTGTTCTATAGCTTCATGTGATGCTTTTCCTGATATTATCCCGTCTTTAATTTTATATATTTATATTTTGATATATCAATTTGGAAATGTATGAAAATGTTAAATTCGTCGACATATAGTTCAAAAAATTATATGGTTCTAGTCCATCGAAATATTGGTTTAGTTTTTGTTTATGTAGGCAGTTCTGAGTATGGTCCAGTGGTTAATTTTAGAAGTGATGAATTAAATGGTATGACAATTGACATTTTGAGCATTCCTGTAAAGCAATTAGGACCTATAAACACGGCGATGCTGAGTGGTCGTTATCTTGATTCAAGGATTGGCTTTGGAAGTGAGTAGGGTTGGTCAGATAAGGCCCAAGTGGTGAAAATTTTGCCCGAAAATTATGAAGGATTCTGAGATTGTAATTGAGTATCGTGCGCTATGCGTACATTATGTTAACATGTATGCTTTCATAGCAGCAAGGCGAAGGCTTGAGATTGAGTCTGCAAAACTTCTTCAACAAAGATATCTTGAACCTTCTGTTTCAGTGTTGGATTTTGTAAACTGAGTTTAACAGTTGTCAACAGAATGAGCAATGAGTTCAAACAGGGAAGTATTGCAACTCCAGCTGCGCTGAACGGTCAGAATAACCCGACGCAGGGTGTTGCGACGCCACAGCAAAAAACTGTCGGACGTGTCCAGGGTTCCACACCATCCGGTAAGTCTGGTTTATTTTCTAGTTCTGACATCCTCTAGGTAACTTATTATAGTTAAAATAAAGCCACTTTTTCAGGTTCTGTTTCAAATCCAGTAACTACTCAGAGCGTAGCACCTCAATTTGCTGTTGCCACACCGCATAATGTAACGCATAACGCTAATCCAGAGGTCTTTAATTTTTCTCGGTTTGAGAATGATTGATATCTCTTCACTTATACCAATTAAGCGAGAAATCGGAAATCACTGTTTACTTCTGAAAATACTGATGCTGATAATGCTGTTTTTAGGTTTTGTCAGTTTTCGAATGCCCGGTTTGCATGGATTACATGATGCCACCTTACCTGCAGTGCCAGAGTGGTCACCTTGTATGTGGCAATTGCCGTCCCAAATTAACATGTTGTCCTACTTGCAGGGGTCCAGTTCGTATGTTTCTAAACTGTTGAAATGATTTAGAAATTTATTGTTATGTTTCAAGCATTTTCTTTTCTCTCCAAGGAGAGAGGATAGAATGCATGAGATCATTTTTCATATTTTAGCTAGTATTGTTGCATTTTATTTGGTGTCTTTTATAGCAAGTGTTCGAAATTTGGTATTGGAAAAAATCGCAAACACCGTTATGTTTCCTTGCAAATTTTCTGGCTCAGGCTGTCCACTTACATTTTCACACGTTGAAAAAGTGGAACACGAGGAACTTTGTGAGTTTCGGTAAGCATTTGTACTTCTGTTCTGGTCCAAGTTCCTTTTTATAAGGAAATATAAGGAAATGCCTAAGAGTAAAATATGGTAATTTGTTTCTGTTAACACCGTACATCTTAATGTATTTTTATGTTTTCTTGTCAGGTATTGTTCTGATATTTTATTGTGATTATTTCTAGCCCATATTGTTGTCCGTGTCCCGGAGCATCATGCAAATGGCAGGGAAGCCTCTCCGAAGTTATGGGACATCTCATGAAAGTTCATAAATCTATTACTACTCTACAAGGTCAGTTCATTTTCGTCTGCTTCATGGAAGACGAAAAGATTTTGATTTCACTGTTCTTTACTTACAGCGTGTTTCTTATATCTTTGTTTTGTTATGAGTTACCAATAGTTTTGTATGTAAATTTGCCTTACAGTTGGTTATTGCTTCGTGAAGAGCAATTTCTATATTTCTTTTATGATAAAACTTTCCTTCTTTCTAACCAGTTATTAAAAGTCAAAGCACATCAGTTTTCTTATATCGCATTTAAAGTAATCGTGAAGGGAAACATTGGAATGAATCTAATTGCAGGTGAAGATATCGTCTTTTTGGCTACTGACATCAATCTACCTGGTGCTGTAGATTGGGTAATGATGCAGTCTTGTTTCGGTTATCACTTTATGCTCGTGCTAGAAAAACAAGAAAAGTTCCAGGATGGTAATCAGATGTTCTATGCTGTTGTGCAACTGATTGGCGCTAAAAAAGAATCCGAGAATTTCATGTATCGGTAAGTATTATAGGGGATAGAGTTTTTGGTAGACGAGATTAATCGGACTAATTCAGTTTGCGAAGCAAAAAACTGAATTAGTCCAATGCGAAGCATTGGGTTTTTGGTTATGTATGAAGATTTTGATGTGGATAGCCAAAACTGATACTTTGAATACGTTCAAAGCCGGAGTGACAGTATGTGAAAGAAAAATTGAATTAAATTTCACAACAAAAAGTCCTTGTATTCATATGAATTTCTAATTTTCTTCTGCTTGCAGGCTTGAATTAGCAACACATCGGCGCCGTTTTAGCTGGGAGGCGTCCCCACGTAGTATACATGAAGGTGTGGCACACGCAATATCTTTGTCAGATTGTATGGCATTCGATAGCCAAACTGCTCAGTTGTTTGCCGAAAATGGTAATCTTGGTATCAATGTTACGATATCCATGGTCTGAACTTGTTCAAAGCTAAGCCATTATTCGATTTCATGTTGGTGGCGATAGTAACGGAAAGAATTGGAAGAGAGAGGGAAGCTCGATACGAATATATTTATGAATTTATATTTTCAGTTATTAATAGCAACGACAGTATTTACAAATACTCAATAACAGCCTCAGTACAGTTTAGCGCATGTTAAACCATCTCCAGAAGCGAAATGTAATAAAGCTATATTTCGCATTCCTACATGTTGCGCTTGTGCATATACGGGTTTAGCTTATTTAGTGACCTTTCAAAAAATTATTTTATCATTACCTTTAGTGTAGGAGCACAGATTCTTAGGAAGCAAATAAAGCTAAACGTGTAATTTAAGGATTATATCCTTCAAGGAGAAAACATACTTTTATGTTTGGAGTCCGTTTCATGTGCGCTAGCCATCTAGTTTCTAATGCGAGAATTTCTGTATGCGTAAATGATAATCATCGTGCACCTAACTTCCTTTTATTTTCTGTTATTTCTAGTGTACTTATAGGAAATTGGGTAGGAGTGCTCCTGACGGGAAAAGGTTCTGCCAAATCCGATACTGTAATCACACAAGTATTAATATCAAGTGATAGCAGTGTATATAATCACTATCTCGGTTCTCCTAGAAATTTATCTTAATATGTTTTCTGTTAGATTGACTATATCAAATTACTTACTTCTTCCATATTTTGCTTAACTATGCTCTGTGGAATTTTTTGCTTTAGTGTTCCGTTCTGATTGTAGTGGTAAAAAATTAGTTTACATTTCGCAACGCTGCTTATTTCATTTGTTTTTCCGTATTAGTCGTTGCATGTTTAATAGTGCAAAAAAAGATTTGTTTCTACTGTTTAGAAAGATTTATTAGTTAATTCTTGTTGAAAGGTTCCTTTGCATTTCTCGTGCGAATGTATTTTTATCATTACTGAAAAGCTGTCCTGTATCATTATTCTTCATATAGGGCATATCCTTTCCGATCAAATTCTTTATTGGTTCGTTAGCCAAGATGGATAATGAGAAAAAAAAAATCAGGGCAGCTGTCGAACTTGAATGCTGTATTTTTGTATATAAATAGTTTCTGCTTTTCGTTTATACGTTTCATTTTGGACGATGATAGTATTCGTTTTTTTAGATTCAATTGATCATTCGTTAAATTAATAGCCATTTAGTCGTCACTCCCTACTCGAAAGAGGCAAAAGTCTAAGCCGAAAACCTGAATTTTTATTGGACGTAAAATTTAAACGATGCTATATCTTTCAAACCAAATTCAATGCAGTCACCAGATTTTACAGGTGTTACGCCTGGTGGTGTACCTGTGAGGAGCATATCACCTGGTTCCATGGTGACGTATTTTGTTAAAACTTCGATTAAAGTTGGTATGTCAAAAATCATAGCGTCGGTCCGACAGCGCTGCTTCTCTTCATCATTTATACGACAAAATAACACAACGTCGTGTGGATTGGCGATTTCACTGACATCAATGAAGGATCCTACCGGACATGAAGTATCAAATGATTTTGCCAGGAACCAAGGCATCCCTGTTTTTTTCGCTTCATCCTGCAAATTAAAGCTATATGTCAAAAAATGCTCTTTATTGAAGCTAGGTTCCCACGCGACTATCAACTATTAACATTTCAGTGGCTCAACAAGTAAGTTGCACGATGGTTCATTAAAGCTGTCGGAACTTAAAAACCGGAACTTTCAGACAGCATTGAAGGACCTTTTTATCTGTGCAAAAGAGTATGATGACAAATGACCTGGAAGTCCCGAGCCGTCATGTCCAAGGCTACCGTGTACCCGCCAATATAGTTAAATGCTTGCGATGACGGGATATTTTTCGCTGTCTTGTTGAAAATTACACCAAGTTCCACTTCTTGATGTAATATCTTACAACCAGGCGGCGGGACGATAAATTGTCCTTGTGACACATAACTGTTTGTTGATTTCGCAAAAAATAGTGGTATTTTCGGTATTGCATTTCCCAATTCTAAGGCATGCTCCTGCAAATACCTCCGTTAATTGAACCTGCATAAAAATATGTACTATGCATATGCATGTATTCTTAAAGACGACAAACCTTATAATTCCTACCGACACAAACAATCTTTTTCCCGAGACTACGGAAATTCGACAATTGCAACACCATCTTCTTAACAGAACTTAAAGGACTAGTTATAGGTCGCTTGAACTGCGGAACGAGCGAGTGCTCTCTAGGTATTTATGAAAATATAATGTCTAAATCCTTTCATAAATGATTTATTTTTATCATTAATTAAATATCATTGAGCAATATTTAATTATGTCGCTCTAACAACACTATTACGGTATGGTTAGAAAACTAAAATGAATAATATTCTTAGCATTATATCTTTGAAATCATTTACAAATTTCATATATAAAAACTATAACAAATGAAATTGTGCATCAGATGGCTTAAAACAATTGCTGTGTTTTCACACCTTTCAGCACCTTAAAATCTGAACAGCAGTTACAAACTTTCTGGAAGTACTGGTAACAATTAGCAGGCGAAAGTTTACTTATCGTTGTTATTTCTGTGTACGATTTTGCCACAAGAAGTTGATGAGAATATTTGATGACGAAATGAAATTTTAACTATTAAATTAATAAAATATTATTGGATGTTCAACAGCTGATTAGTTTTTTGTCTCTTACATATGAGTGGTAGTATTCATTTTCAGGTTCTTTTTATTTTAACTTATTCAATTTGTCACT